GCCTGTCTTTGTGTCTGCACACCACAATACACACACACACACACACACACTCGCATGACCTCTTTTTGTTTCCTTTTTACATGTGACAGGGAACACGGCAGGGGCCCGCGAAAGTTCACTCCAGTCAGACATCAACAGCAGTCCCACGGAGCAGAGTCAAGTGGGCCAGTCGCACCCGGGGTACGGCGCCATGGGGCCACAGGTCAGTCAAGCGCTTCATTCTGCTCGCCGTTTGCATGTACAGCATTTCGCAATGTTTTTTTTCTGTCTCAATGTACCTGATTTTCAATTAGCTCCAACATATTGTCGGTCACCAATAAAGCCTGTGTGAATCCCGTTACTTATAATATACTGTGCAATCACATACTAAGAGTTTTTACTCAGTTCAAGTTTAAAAATTAAAGTACAATATTTGCTTTCGCTGTTTGTTACTTCTTGAAGAAAGTGTTGTTTTTGGTTTATACATTTTTGCACTTTATTTTGTTGTATTTCAATCCAATTATGTTTTAAAAATATTTTATTCGAGTAAATGATCGAATATTACTGCACTATTATTTGTTTTTCTTTTAAGTAAATTTAGCCTACTTTTGCTAAAAGAGAAAATATGGACTAGTGATAGTGCCTTGAATAATATCGGCTTCTTTCATTCATGTTATGGGTATTTTTATACAAAGGAAATTTTTTTGTGCCTGTTGAAAATTAAAGTTTACTGACATAGCCATAAAAAAATGTTGCTTTATTTATCTGACCGTATTGGAATGTATTTGTTAGGTTTTCGGTCAATTAAATTTGGTTCAATAAACAATATGTGGTTATTTTTAAAATTTTCAATGAACATTCGATCAGTCCGGCCCTCGGCTTGCAGCAAAAATTTTTATCTGGCCCGCCGTCCATTTGACTTTGACACCCCTGGTCTAATATATGAACGCTGTCAGGCGGGCCGGCCCGCATCCTGCAAACACTTTGGAAGAACAAAGGCGCCCCTGCACGCCCTAACCAATTCTCCTCTCGCCGGATCAATACCTTTGATAGATTTCCCACTCCCGAGCCGGATATTGTCGGAAGGACCATTATCCGCCGCTAGTTTACCCAACGTGAATCCACCATGCCGCGTGTTGGCGCCGCCGCCGCCTCTCGCTCGCAGTTAGGGTGACAAAAGTCTGCGATTTGGACCACTGGGGGCGATTTCTCAGTGCTCGAGCTGCCAGGCGGACACAAGAGCCTCCTCAAACCCCTGATGGGCCCCGTCCCGCGGCGTGGGTGCGTGCGTGCATCCTCGCGCCCCCCCCACCTAGTAGACCACTTGTCATCACTCAACTGTCAGGCCTGCCGAGTGCGACCGCCAGGCTGCTCTATGGAGGGCCAGGCTGAGGAAATCAATTGCCAAACACACGCGCCACTTGCATTTGCGGCTTTACCTTTTGGGGACGTTTGAGGTCAGGAGGTCATTTGAAGTCACGGTAGAAGCAAGCTGGATGTAGAGTACAGGGCGACTTTAGTTCCATTGTTTTTGATTTCCAGTGGTTCCGACTGAATCTCTGCTCGGGTGTTGACATTAGGCAGACATTACGGACGGAAATTGGGGAAACTCATTTGAGGTGATATACCTTGCGTCACACTGGGGCTTTTAAATGTACAGAATTCAGACACATTTGTGTGCACAATGATCCAAATGAGGACATTTTGTCCTTGGCGGAGGTCTGCTGAGTAAATCAGCCCAGCGTGTGATTAATTGGCGCATTGCTTTGAATGTTGTTCCTCGTCATTTGCTGTTGAAGCCCCGGCAATCTCTTTTTATTTGAAAAGGTCGAAAGCGCACCTTTGATGACACGCGCGCGCCGGATTACATTTACCCACTTGAAAAAAAAATCATCAGATGAAAGCGTGTCACGCGGCGGCAAACAAACAGGTTGTCTTTTTGGTTGCAATCATCATTCGCTTTTTGTCTTGTGAGTGCTACCGGCAAGGCATCGTTTGGAAGGGTTGTCAAAGCAAAAAGCCAGCAACGGGGGTGTGGTGGCCGCTCATTGCTATGCATTTGTCTTTCGGTGTGGATATTGTTGTTTTTAAAACCCGCATGACCTGCCGCCGCAGGTCACGGCGGGTGCCTTCGCCGCCGTTATCGCGGTGACACTCCTGGAGCTGCAGGGCCGCTCGGGCCAGCGCGACGCGACGGCCTCTTTTGTTCATCGTGTGCCACTCTAGCGGGAAACTATTGAAGATTCCATCACTCCGTTTCTTATTCCACACACGCAGTAATAATTTGAACAGTGTGTTTTGACTTGCCGGCACGTATGATGTCGTCTTGTTTTCACATTTGGGGGTTTTAGTTCCCCCGTAAAGCAAGAGAGTTCAAAGTGGCCCCAAACTTTTGCCGACAACCCACTTTCAGCATTTCATCTCCGTTTTGTGGCGCTTCTTTAATTGCACATTTGTTCATCGAAATAAAGGCATCCCAAATTCTGCAGTCGTCGCACCTCAGAGGCGCCGTCGTTAAAGGGAAATACATTTGAAGATGCCTCCCCGCCCCCTCCGCGGCGCTGGCCTCCTTATCGCATTCTTTTTCCTCGATGGCTCCCACTCTTGACTTCACGTTGTGAGTGATGCTTCCTATCAGCCGTCGCAAGATTCAAGTCATCAAACTTTTTTATTTTCCACGCCCCACACTTCAACCGCACCCCGCCACCTCCACGAAGCGCTGCGCGTTCGAGGCGCAGTTGGCGCTGCTCCAAGAGGCTTTTTTGTGCAGTGGCAGGCAGACTTTAAGACATTTTTTTTGTTTTGTGTTCGTTGGTTTGCAATTTTTGTCCGTGTCAAAATAACGACGATGTGTTTTGTGCGTCCTCGCAGTCGCTGTTGGTGGCCCAGCAGCTAGCCAACGCGGTGGGCGGCGCCATGTCCGGGGCGGCGGCGGCGGCGATGAACCAGCCCATCCTCATCCCCTTCAGCGCCGGCGGGCACCTGAGCGGCCAGCAGGGCCTGGTCCTTTCGCTGCCCGCCACCAACCTGCAGAGCCTGGTGGCGGCGGCTGCTGCCGGGGGCATTATGACGCTGCCCCTACACAACGTGCAAGGTAAGCCTCAGAAGGCCTGCTGAAGCAACATTTGACCCCCCCCCCCCCACCGCTGCTTTTTTCAAGGGCCTGTTTAATCACGTGTAAAACGATTAATCGGCAATTACTCCATTCCCAAATTCAGGGCTGCTTATTTTTGATAATCGAGTACTCGTTGAGATAGCTTTTTTTTTTTTTCATTTCAAGTTGTCCAACTATTCTGAATTTCAGCTTCCCAACAGTAAATGTTCTCCAGTTTCTGTTATGAAATGAGCAAAAAAAAAAAAAACTGCAGCTGAACAATAATACCAAAAATAGTTCATTTTGGTCAAAAAATATCATCATATCAAATATATGCAGACTGTATTAAATAAGTAGAGTAGAAAACAACAGCGTAACAATAACCCTAACCCGGAAGTACTGATTGTTCTTCTCTTCATCCTGTGATGGACACGTCACAATGTCTTTTTCTCCTCTCCAAATTTGTGACAAGACTTCCTTCCTTCCGAGCAGGTCGGAATCCTTCGGGGCTTTGTCAGCCAACTCCTCAAGCAGCCTTAAGCAACAAAGCGTATTAATTACAGGTCACCGTTTTGCAGCGCAGTGCCAAAGCACTCTGTTCCTCTTTTTTTTTTTTCTCTCAATTCTCCTTTTTTCTACCGTGCTCTTCATCCTTCCATCCAGCGGCTGTACTTCTGTGTGCCTTTGAAACTTTAATGTCCAAATGTTCCCTTTTGATCATACTTGTAAATGGTTTTCATTTTAATGTTTAAAACATTGTCTCTTTACTAATGTCAAAAGACGTCCAGGCTGAATGTAAAGAAGTGTGTGTGTGTGCGCGTGTGTGTGTGTGTGTGTGTGTGTGTGTTTTATTTTAGGGAGGGAATATTACAATAATGCCGGTGCAGCACAAAGTGCAGGGGAGGGGAACGTGGACGGACGCGTGCCTCGAGTGTGGAAAGGCGAGCGGCGGCCTAATGGACACAAACATGCATAAATAACAACAAGCGGGGCTGGCGGGCAGAGCTTTTAATAAATCCCTTCAACGTGGATGAGAATGGCTCACGTTGCCATTGGCTGGGACCGCCCTCCAGGGGCCTTCCGCTGATTGACAAAACGCATCGGGAGGACCGCAGGAACGCCGGGACCGATGCCTCTCGTGCTTAGCGCCTCACAAATGTTCGAGAATTCAAGGCCTGGTGATTTTGAAGTCACTTTATGGGGACGCTGAACCCAAAGCCAAGTCACTTTGGCAAATGGTGAACATTTCATCCAAAAAGCAGCTTCAAACTGTTTCATGCCACTCCCAGCTGTAGATTACGCTCAAACAAAATGCAAAACAAAGAGAATGACACATCGTGTATTTCGGACGGCCACATAGCTTAGCCTTTCAGTACGCTAGCGTAAATAAAATCGATGTTGCAGTGCGGTAACGATTCTAGCGACAGATTCAACACAAACTGTGCAGGGAGAAGTAGCCAGAAAATGTAACGGTACGAAGCCACGTGTTGTTTATCTTCTGTGAAAAAAAAACTGCTATTAGTGCTGCACTGATGAGCTGAGAGGAGTTGAGGTCACACTGCAGTACTTACTTTCACATTAGAAAAAAATTATTCCCACTATTTATGCTCTGAAAATCATTTTCCAAGCTTGTATTGGGACAAAATGTAGCGAAGCAAACTTTATTTGAACGTCATTGACGTCAGTGGAAAAATCGGTTCACATCGCATTTTTTTTTTTTTTTGTGAACAGCAATCAGCTATCAGATGCACAACGTTTCTCCATAAAAGGGCAGGGAAGATTTTTTTTTTTTAAGCCCGCTTGGCACGTCCTCACGTCTGAAGGCGATGCGTTGAAGGGACCTCCGCCGAGAGAAAGTGACACGAGTCACGAATGAAGCTAAATGTCTTGACTACGTCGGGGGCCCCCCGCGGCCCCGCGGCGCTCCTCCGCTCGCCGCTGTCCGAGCGCATCACGGCCGGCCTTGACTGAGGCCTGCTGGCGCAGCACCTCTGTCGGACACGCGGCACTCTTCCCCTCCGCTGCTTTCCATACGCTCACGCTGCGTCCTCATTAGTGTCACGAAAGACAACTGGCAGACTTCCATCGTGAAACATCGGGAGGGGTGGAGCCAATGCAAGCATTCAGGCCTAATGAGGCGGCTAACGAGCCGCTAATAAGGCCGCTTGTCTTGTACGTTGACAATCATCCGGGAATTAGCGCTTGCACAATGAATTAGGGATGCTAATTTGCGATTAGTATGGAGATCCACCACTCATGAAGCGCAGCGACCAATATGTGTTGTACATATTTTGTTGTCATGTTTGTCAGAATGATTCATGCGGGCACAAAAAAAAAAAAAACTCCCAGTGAAACTAAACAAGGGAGAAAGTTATCCTTTGTGACAAGAGCTCACACAAATCCGGGTGACTTCACAGAGCCTCCAAAAGTAGGTTGCGTCACACCGCAGCTCTGCAAACATTGACAACTATTACCACTCTAAAACATACATGATTATCAGACTTTTAAGATTGAGGCCTTTTGTTTTTTTTTGGGTGACGGCAACTTTCCTCCTGATTTTTCTAACAAGGAAATGGTGATTAACGCGCTTGTAAAACTAGCCGCATCAAAGCGAGCCTCAACAAAGCCTCGATCCGCCGACTCCTCTTCTCCGCACTCGCAGCTAATGCGAAGGCGCCGCTTGACTTGGAAGCGCGTAATAAGCGCACGCCGCCTTATTTGCCCGCGCATCACATCAGAGGGCTGCCGAAGTTCTAATGGCGCGGAGGTGAGAGCGCGCCCGCTGTTGTTCGTCTGTACCGCGGCTCGTCGGTTTGGAAGGTCGGCATCCCACTCACCTGCCGTAATGAGAAGACGGCGTGGCTGCCAATCAAAGCACCGCCGCCTCGTCTGCCGTTTTGATTCCGATGTTCGGCGGTGTCGCTCAGAGGTTGCGGCTTGTCGGCGCGCTACAAATTAGGGAAATCGCTACGCTCATTACGCCACCTAAGGGCGAGCCCCCAGGGGGGGAGAAGAGTCGGATGTTTTTGCAATTGTTACACGTGTCAGCTTGCAAACGCCTCCGACTCGACTGACTGTTCCTTCGCAGTCAGGGCCTCTCATTCCCAGTAAGCTTTCGACCTGCGGCTGCGGTGCTCTGTCGTAGGTGGCGCCTTAGTCCCCTGAGCTTGTGTTCCAGCGGTCCCGAGTTTTTGCCCTCGTCCGCGGCTTGCATACCTGTCAACTTTTCGGAGCGCCAACCTGTATGAACTACCAAAAAAATCCTTATAAAGAGCAAAAAATCCTTATAACATACCAAAGCATTTTATATGTCAAACTAACGGCAGAAAAAAAACCACGAAATATGAATTTGTTTCCTTGTAGAACTTGCTTGTACACTACCGAAGTATGCAATGAATACTCTGCTGTTTTCAACTAGGAACCACGTGATTTACTGGAAAGTTACCGGAAATGAAAGCATTCAAGTAGACTAGCACCATTCTGGGCAAAAGCAAATGGAACTACCTGTTAGGGGGAAAAAAAAAAAAAAACGGAAATTTTCAGAATCCGTATGATTTGTGCGATATGGCCATATACGTAAGATTCACCACAAAATCCGTATGAACTATGGCTAAACCGTATGAGTTGACAGGTATGGGCTTGTCAAGTAAAAATGGGGCGCGGGATGAGACCGCTCTCGACAGAGAATCCAAACTCAGGTCAAGCTGAGCCCGAGACAAGTCCAAGACTTACAGGAGTCGATTGGAAGTGGCTGTCTGGATTCTGCAGCAACTGACCGGAAGTTGAACGCAACCTTGGAGGTGTTGCTATGGAGATTTCTCCATTGACCATCTGGGCCGGGTTTCACCGAAGGCGTCTTCCTGCAGTGCTTCATCTGAGTGAATGGACGTGTATCAAGTATCAAGTACAACTTCATTGTCAGATGTGCTGTATATAGCACAGATGAAATCTCTTCCCTCTCACGAGAGGAGCCGCTGCAGGTGCCCGCGCCGCCGTCTACACTATTTCCACTAACATTGTATAGCATCAAATTGTGTTAAATGTTGCCCACTCGTCATCCATCCCCTTCTCGACTTTTCTCATTTTTTTACCCACACCCACCCCCCAAATATTTTTTTTCATGTGTTTTTCTTGTGGTAGTTAAGATCCGGGAATGCCGTTGATATTTTTCAAATGTGGGCATATGAAGCCCTTTGAGATGATTCTGTGAGTAACCCAGTCTTGAGTTTTGCAGCACCAGCTGGAACCAAATGTAGCGAACGGCGCTTCTCCAAAAACTTCCCGCAATTCGCTACTTTGCTGACTTTATAATAACCGAAACGGCGACCGAAATCTTCAACCGTCACGGAGAGCGTCGTCATTCTTCCATTGATTTTGCACCTGGAAAAAAAAAAAAAATATGTCGCAGTCACCTTTTTTCCGGTTTTCTTATTGGCAATACGAAAGAGAAAAGGAGTCCATATTTTCTCAACGTGGCAAGACAATGGCGGGCCGAGGCATCCCTTAACCGCGCGGGATTGTTTCCTTCGCAGCCTTCTCCAGCACATCGTCCCTTTTAATGATTTAACTCGGCGGCGCTCGAGTCGCGACTCGCTACCGAGCGAGAGCGGGAGAGAGGGAGCGCTTGGCATTAAATAAATAATGGTGATAAAATGTACAGCTCATACATTTCAAAGTTAATGCGACTAGCGGCGCGATCGGAGCAGCTGCACACAGTCCTCCGAGCGCTAATTTGATTGATTTGTTGTGACAGGAGCCAAATAATTGAGAGTGAGAGGTGCCGCGAGCCAGCCAGCCAGCCACCGAGCGCCGCGTACACCCGCCCTCCCTTTCTCTCTCGTCACCCGATATGCGCCACTAGTTTATTGTTTGCCTTGGACGACACGCTGCCTTTGCCGCGACTCCCAATCAAAGTGTACAGACGAGACGTTGAGGGGGTTGGAATCAAACAAGTGCATTTGCGCTGAGGTTCCTGCACGGCATCATGCAAAAACACACAC